CGCCCTGTTGATGACGTCAGCGACGCGGTTTAATCGGGCGCGGCTTAGTCGGGCGCGGTTTTGTCGTGCCACGGCTGTAGGTATGGCCAATGTTTAGAAGTTGCCAGTCCTCTTCAAGCAAACTTATTTAGAAAGCTCCAGCATGATGCCAGGCAGAGGTAGAAGAAAGGCATCAGCTGCCTTGATTACTACTAATGACTTAGATTTAAAGTTTTAGGAAAAGGATACTCCCATTAACATGCAGAGCATGTTAATTCGGGACTGGGAGCTGACCTACCATTTTAGCTGCAGCGAAGAGAGCAATACGGATATCGAAGATGCAGCCATTGCAGCTGACCCCATCCATGGATGTAACACAAGTCCTAAAGGCATGAATACCCCTGACACACAAAAAATAGACAAGATTTAGAATATTGACTAAATACAGGTAGCCCTCGCCTTACAACAGTTCATTTAATGACCGTTCAAAGTTTCAATGGCACTGAAAAAGGTGACTTATGACTGTTTATCCACACTTACAACCTTTGTAGCATCCCCATGATCATGTGATCAAAATTCAAATGCTTGCCAACTGCTTCATACTTATGATCTTTGCAGCATCCCGGGGTCATGCGATCACTTTTGGTGACCTTCTGATAAGCAAAGCCAATGGGGGAGTTAGATTCACTTAACAACTGTGGCAAGGAAGGTCTTAAAATGGGGAAAAATTCATTTAACAAATGTCTCACTTAACAACAGAAACCTTGGGCTCAATTGTGGACGTAAGTTGAGAACTACCTTGTAAAGTTATATGCAAGCAACTCTTAAAGAATGCAGAATTTAGTCTTAAATCATTTTCTTATCACCTGCCTGCTCAAAGCTGAGGAGTTTACTACAAAACCAAATTACTTTTGGTATTCATGTATTTCTTCTCCCACAAGTTTATTGTTTGCTTTCTATTTTTCATGCTCAGAATAACCTTAGTTCAGTACAACTGGAGCTCACAACTGGCATTCCATTATTAGAGGGACTTCACATCAGCGAATTTGTTGTGTAAGTTTAAGTTTAAGTTTTATTTTATTTATATTCCGCCCTATTCCCTAAAAGGGACTCAGGGCGGCGAACAACTTAAACGGGAAGGGGAAACATAC